AAGTAAAAAGTGAACAAGAAAAGAAAAGAAAATTAGGTATTTGATTATTTTTCTAAAGAAAAAATATAGAGTAAGAAAAGGGAGAGGAAAGAAAATAATGCAAAAACATATACATTTTTTGGAGCTTCAAGGTTGCATTGCCCCTCACGATGCTCAAAACTCTTAACGTCATTTTTAGTGAGGAGAGATTATACAATCCGGATCAACGGCATGTCAAAAACAGTTTGATACTATGTAGATAAAATTTAACATATTATGTATTATATTATGTCGGATCTGATTATTTTTTTAAAAGAAAATTAGGTATTTGATTATTTTTCTAAAGAAAAAATATAGAGTAAGAAAAGGGAGAGGAAAGAAAAAAGAAAATAATGCAAAAAAACATATACATTTTTTGGAACTTCAAGGCTGCATTCCCCCTCACGATGCTCAAAATTCTTAACCTCATTTTTAGTGAGGAGAGGTTATACAATCCGGATCAACGGCTTGTCAAAAACAGTTTGATAATATTTAGATAAAATTTAACATATTATGCATTATATTATGTCTGATCTGATTATTTATTTTAAAATTTTAATTGAAGGTCGACTCCGTTTGGACTATTTTTATTTATAAATTTTTGTAATTATATGTTATTATTGTCGTTTTTAGGATTCTTTTACTATTTTAAAAAGGTAGTACTGCATAGCATAGCATAATTTAGACAGCAATTGAGTTTCCTCTGCAACTTGTGATTGTTAATTATAGTTATTTGATCCTCAATTAACTTTTCTTTTGTCAGATGTTAAATCGATCCTCAATGTACTAGTATTGCACATCCGCAAAGTATGGTACAAAAAAGGGCTATAGACGATTCTTTTCCGGAAATTGAGAATCTTCTTGTGTGGGCAAAAGTGTTTGTGAGTGGAAATGGATTTGCAATTCACTTCCTCTCCTCTTTCATGCAGTAAATTGTTTGGGCTTGTTTGGTACATTGGCTGCTCTTGCCTCCTTCCCGGCCACTTTTTCCTTCACACTCACTGCAAGATGTTGCTGCGAGGATAAGAAGTTGACTATTTTCTTTCATCCTTCATTTATTGACAGATATACACAAAAGTTGACCAATTTTTTAACAATAAGATTGCCAATTAGAGCTGGCCATCGATTCATCAATACTAATCCGTTTCGCATCCAACAGATTGAACAAATCTTAATTCGCTACCAATTTGTGGAATAACGCCATAACGGATTAGATCGGATATGTGGATTGAAAAGTTTTTTTCTAAATTGTTCAATATTATTTATTTTTTTAATCATAGCTCATTAAATAACATTTTAATTATCAACATTAATTCATATATTTAAATGATCATTAGGTAATACATTCTTAAATTCCATTAAATGATCATTAACTAATTAAATTAACTAATACATTATTTGAATATATATATATATATATATATAAATTTCACACGGATTCACGGATTTACGAATTATTTACCCACCCTCAATGGTTACATGACACATGATGAATTGACATAATTGCCTTTTAATTTGTTAACTAATTTAAATTATGGAATTACGTTTTTGACCTCTACAAGTCATTTTTTATTAGATCAAACTAACCTCTATACTCTTCACTTCATTCTTTATCAACCAAACTATATATATATATAGACTATTTTTTATTTTTTATTTTTGCACCAGTAACTCACCTAGGTAGGGTCCCTTCGGAATCCATCCTAAACTACAAATTTGGGGATGCTGTCGACGGCCCCACACCTCAACACCAGGGAATATAATAGGGATGGATTGGCTCGAATCTGGGACATATAGCACCTCGGGCCGTTGCCTTATTAACATAAATATTATAACAAGCATACTTACATATATTAATTAATAAATCTTAGCCGGTGCAAAATATTATGTATTCATATATATTGCAGATTCAATTATTTACTTTGAATATTTTTGTCATAGTGCTAGTTATTAGGCAAATATATATACATCAATTATATCATCACGGTAGAATTACATAGGACCATGACCATTCATTTTCACTTAATTATTAGGAGCAAAATGGTCGTTTAGTTTATAAATTCTTCTTTTATTAAAAAGCTTTAAAAAAATGAGGGCAATTTAGACATGCCATAGCATTTTTATGTTCAAAACTTAACAAAGGGTATCATTATTAAAAAATGGGTTAACTTAATATGGCTGTCAATAAGACAAACCTCAGGAGGTGTCATTATAATTTACCCTAATAATAATTATTATGAATTTATTTTTTATTTTTTTATTTTTATTTCTGGGAAAGAAACTGTATGGGCTTATAAAAATTCTAAATTGTTATGGGCATGACCAAATCAGAAATAATATCTAAAATCACTACTTTTGGGTACTGGTTTGGTGGAAAAGAATTAGGAAAATAAAAGTGGCATTGGAGAATTAATCAAGTTGGAAAAAATGGTTGAAGTTGTTGGAATTTCATATGGTGCATAACTGCATGTATAGAACAAAACTTGATTTAGTGGGTGTGAAAGTAGTCGGGTGTTGGTGGAAAATATGAATCTCTTGTTGGTTGATGATGCCTTGATGTATATGTACACAAGTACAAATAAGATGGTGTTCGATTTCTCTTGCTTCGGCTAAATATTATATTAAAATATATTTTAAAAATTTATGTTACAAATATTTGATTTGTTTCTCAGTCATACTATAATATCCTTCAACTTTATCAAAAATCCCCTTTAACCCTAAGGAATTATTTAAAAGACTAAAATACCCATGTTCAGGGACGGAGCCAATGAAGGCCTAGGGAAAAAAAAATTCCATATATATGAAAAAATTTATATAGTGCTCTCCCTCAAATTTGTAGTTCCTAAAATTATATTCTTATTTTTTCTTTTACTCTCACATTTCTTAAATTTCCTTATTGGAAAAAGTCAAATTTTTCTTTCTCAATTAAAACTTTTTAACTATTTCCTATGAAAGTTCTTTCATTTTTCTTTCCTTTTATATTTTAATAATTTTCTTCTTCTTTGTCTTTTTAAATTTTATAGTTGTACTCCGTACTATTTTTTTTGGCAGTGTGCCCCCCCACTTGAAATCCCAGCTCCGTCACTGCCCATGCTTGGGTTTTGTTCAGCTCTTGCTTTCTATGTTCTTGAGATGCTACCTCTGTTTATTATTTAGAGTTGTCTTTTGTTTAGGCAGTGTGTGCTTTGTTTGTTTGTTTTGTTTTATTTTATTTTTAAAGAAGCAGCATTGATATTGTAATATTATTTTTTTTTTCAAAAATTGATAAACAAAAAAAAAAAAAATTTCCTGTTTAACTGTTCACTTAGCTGAATAAAAAAATAATTGATTAAGATATAATGAAGCACTATCACAAATTCGTGCAACATTAACTAATTGAAGAAAAAGACAGCAATTCATATAAGAAAAAGGATACAAATAAAAAATGAGTAAATAAAAATAGGTAAGTGGGGATAGGTGGAGGTAATAAATGAGGAGTAAATTAGTCATTTTAGTTAGCTGATATTTTAAAATAAATGAGGTTAAAAATTAAGGATAAAATTATCTTCTAGTATATTAGAGATAGACCAGAAAAGTGCTCCTGTAAAATAAAAATTAGTATTTTGCCTAATTAATTCATTGACTGGTTCAGTGAGAGAGCTTATCAATGCTATTTGTATGCCACTTTGATTAACCATAGAATCAAGGAGGATGTATAGACATATTCCATTATAATTGAAAGGAGAGTTCAATTGAACAACTATTAAAGCGGTCATATTTTATGGCACCAATTGTTGGGTACTTAGGAAGCAACATTTGCATAAAGTGAGTGTAGCATAAATGCGAATATTGAGATGGATGTGCAGTAAAACTAGGAAAGATAGAATTGGAAATGATCATGAGATGGTTAGAGTAACATTAATTGAAACAAAAATGAGAAAAAAAAAAATTAATTAATATAGTTTAACCATGTCTAAAGAAGACCTTAAAGTACACCAATTAGAAACAAACTGACATAACTTACATTGAGTGTAATATTACGAGAGCGGAAACAGATCAAAATTAATGTAGATAAAATTAATTAAAAAAAAATGTGGGAGCCTAAGGATCCATGCTATGTAAAATCAATTGTAATCCAAACAAGTTTAATATACTAAAATGGATTTAGTTTAGACTTATCTCTAGTTAAATTCAATCCATTTCATACCCTAGTATCCAAATCCCCATCCTCATTCATGACTTTTAATGGAGGTCCATATTGCATCTATCTTTTAACTTTGACTTTAAACAATGAAACTTAAAAAAATAACTAACTCACTAATTCTTGACAAATTATTTTATAAGTTCAGTCTGATGAACTAGACGATTAGACTCCAAACTCAATCTACACATTTAACAAATATTGAAAGAATAAAAATAAAAAAAATATCTTACTTTACGTCTAAACAAACGAATTTTTTTTATTATTTAATTTTAATTTTTATTAGGATCGAATATTGAGTCTATCTCAACCCATTTGTTCCCTACCCAAAAAGCAAAAGTGAGGGTGGTTTATATTAGTACTTCTTTTTTGGGAAATTGGTTTATAGTAGTTGATCTGCTAGAAAGCCTTGAACACATCGAAGCACCTAAGAACAACAACACCGGCTATTCCCTTTCTCTTAAAATAATTAAGTGGGGTCATAAAAGATCAAATATTAATATCAATGAACCGATTGAACCGGTTTCCAGTTAAAAGAAATACGCGAGGCACAAGTATCACCTTACATGTATGTCACAGACCTGTACATGATTGGACAAGACAACAACAAGACACGTGGCGTAATAGTATTCGTTGTAACGCATCCTCCTTCCCGTGACTCGATTGGACTGTCACGTAAATAAACCACCCAACAGTCCGTAACGTCGTTTTTGTTGTGTACCCGCGAGACAACGTATCATTCACCGTATAACGGAGTGTTAGCGTCTCTGTAGACCCCTGCATAAAGGCGCTGCAACACCCACACACACCAAGAGTGTAGAGAGAGAAAGTAGAGAGAGAGGGGGGGGCGTAGAGGTAGGAGAAAGGGTAGAGAGAGAGAGTGTGTGTGTGGAGAGAGAAAGAGACAGATCAGGAACACATTCTCTTTTTTCTCATTGTCATGCGATCTTTAGAGAGAGGGAGGGGTTGGCTCATTCAGCTAAAGGCACTGTGTTGAAAAAGTGATCAATGTCGGTTCTTTAATCCCTTTAGTCTCTCTCAAGAATCATTTTTCTTTATATCTCACTATATATATATATACATATCTCTTTTTTTATATATCTTAAGCATAAGTCATTTGATCGATCGAGTCGATTGATCTCAATTTTTTTCTTTTGTGCTTTCTCGAGAAAATTCTTGCGTTAACATCACGGAAAACGTGATTTGCTTTGCTCTCTTCAGAATTGATTCTTTTGGTTGTTGTTTCGAGGGAAGAGGAGGTTGATGAATGTAATGTGATTAAGGTATTCAATGGCTTGTTTTGGCATATAATGTGCTTCCATTGTCCATTAACGTTGTTCTTGCAATCCGTTTGGTTGCTGAGAAATGTGGGAAAACGTCAAGAAAAATACAAAATTTTAAATTTCTTTTTCTGCTGTTTTCAGTTAATTGTAATGTGTTCTTGGGAAGTCATATTAACTTATGCTGAAAATTAGAGTTGGTTCGTCACATGTGATGTTGATGCCTTTGTGTTGATATTAGGGTCGAATACTATTATTCAGATTTCTATTGGCCCTGTTTTGAAGGAAAATATCTTCTGCATAAAATTTCTACTTAGATCCTATTTGTTTTCGTGAAAAAAATTGATTTCAGGAGAACTTTTCTGTGAAAAATTACTGCATCTCTTTGATTAACTTCGGGAACAAATATCTATTCACACTATAAAATTGAAATGATTGAACAAACCATTCTCAAAACAAAAATTAACAGTACTTTAGATCATTAGCTATTCAATTTCTACTTGATATGAATTGTAATTAATATCTTTTGAATCCTTGTTTGAAGTTAATTTGTTTGTCATTGTTCTTACTTCAGGATGTGCAAACAGTGATGGCGCACGATTTTTTGGCTGTTGTTTAATGGGTCTTTGTGCTTGATTTCTTAGAATATCAGGTTTGCATCCACTTAATTGTTTTCTCGCTTGCTAAATTTCTCTTCAAACTTAAATGCTCATCATCTTGATAATTTGTCATTGTGTTTTTTAATCATCCAGAGATCTTCCGTCTCACAGAGTGGTTGAAAATGAGCTGGAACCCACAAATGGAAGTTCACTACGCAAACACTACATTTCCTTATAATTCTGCTGGAAGCTTTATCAATTTCTTTGAAGGTCTTGCATATGAACATGTGAATTTCATTTTTGCTGATGCTTTGCATGCTCAGGTACTTTTGCCATATAATTTCCTCTACTTCTATTTTATTTTACATTTTGTTGGTTTAATATGCTATTGGCAACTACTGAATTCAAGTTGAAGATTTCTGCAGCATATGAATTGTGACTATTCCATTGGTTTACTGTGCTGTTTTAGAACTATATATGTATTGTACGATAGTATTATATACTTAATTGTACCTTCTACTTACCTATTAAGTGTAATGTCTGTAATTAAAACAGTTGTCTGCATTATGTTGGTGTATATTTATGGGAGAAGTTTTTGATGTATGAGAAAAGTCACTTAAAATGATTATATTAACTTTAAATGAAGTAGGATTTATTTGTTCATATATATATTTTTTTCTTTCAGGAGAGCATGTACCCTTCAATGCATATGAGTATGTACAAGTTTGGGTTATCCGAACCAGGGAGTGTTTCATACTATGATCATAGTTATGCTCCTCTGGTCAATGATCATTCACTGGGAATTGATGAATACAATAGACAATTGGAGAACTCTTCAACAATGACTAATGAACAGACTGCAGCTGTACATACACAGTGGGAAGAAAATTTAAGCACAAATGAACCTGCTGATCCCGTAGAATGTAAGTTAATACTGAGTCCCGGTTTGGTGATGAATTTCCAATGCATGGTTTTCTGCTTGTGGTGCTATTAAACAATTGACTAGAATGGTGGATTTTTCTATTCAACTATTATGCATTTATTTATTTTCTTCAAAAAGTGAAGATATTGGTTGGGTAAGCTGATTATTTCATGATTAATGGTTAAAATGTAGATAAATGTGTCTAGATGAATTCCTTCTTATCAGCTGGCGACATACTTTAGTAAGTCAGATCCATGAAAACAGATGTTATTGGTCTTGTATGTCTGCAATTGGAAATTATTATGTGGTTCATCTGCTACTCTACCATTGTCATGCATCCTTAATTCTAACGAAACAAGATAAAATGATACCTTGGCCACTTGGCATGGTAGAAGGCAAATTTAATAATCTGATATTGAATATATTGCTGTTCTTTTCTTTGTCTATTTTCTTATTTTAGTTTTCTGTGATAAATGTCCAGGATATTTGGTAATAAAATATGTGACCTGTACAACCATTTATTCTGGACACAATCCCAAATTTCCAGAAAATTGCCTTCATTCATGAAGATGACTAGGATATGTGAAGTCTCTAATGTGATGTCCTGGAAATTTAGTATGCATGTGACACTATGACTGATTCTCTCGATTGTTCATTTCCAAAACTAATTCCTAAGAAGTCGTTTTGTCCCCTTTCTGTCCATTAGCAAATCACATCAAGGTACAATCTTCACAATATGCAGCCTTAGCATCTCAAGCCTATTTTCCCAACAGTCCTATTATATCTGTAATGATTCATGTCTCAGGACATATGAGAACTTCCGTAGAGGGAAGCACAGTAAGTGGAGGTACTGAGTACTGAATAAACTAATTATCTTCTGATTCCTACTCTCTATGACAAAGAGCACAATGACATGGATAATTCAATCAATAGATATCAGGTTATCCGTTATCAGTACCTTGTTCAGTACAGTACTGCCTATCAAATGAAGTAGAAAATTTAGATGTGATCAAGTCTTACCATTTAAGCTTCTTTGAGAAAGGATCCCCATCATGGTCAATCAAAGATGACTATATGCCCACTTTATATGTAGCAGATCATCTTGGATCCTTCTTAGGGGTCCCAAATAAGCAGCTTTAATCAATTTAGTGTTTGATGAAATGTTAATTACACATTTTTGATGGTTCTTGCAAAAGAACGAGACTATACTACCCTACTGACCAACTCTCAGAATATGGCCAGATAGTTTACAACTCAAGCATTCTCAGCCACATCGATGCAATCATTAGAAAATTTCAAGCATGGGTACATTCCCTAGCTTACTTCTGCTTCCCCTTTCAAAAATGTAACATCATAGCTTTCTAAAGACCGCAGCCATAGGGAGAAGTTACCTTTTGAGAGTTCCACCGTTATTGGCTGCCCCTTTAATTTTCTAAAATCATCTTTCGCCAGAAGTATGCTGAGTCTCTGGCCAGAAGTATTGCTAGACTCCATGGTTCTACTCAGAGAGATCACGAGTCTCTGGCCTGAAGTATGTTGTTTGAAGTTCTGGTTGTTAACAATGCTTCTCTCAATGATCTTTAGATTTACTCTTCTGTTTGGGTTCCTATACTTGTATTGGAAATGGGCCTATTCAGTACATAGGACCTTTTTCTGCGGTTTACTTGCTTCTGACCAAGGGTATGCCCTCTGTGCACCTGTACTTCATGTTTTATCTTCAATACAACATCAATAATTTTTTTTTTTTTTTTTTTTTCCAATAATGAAAAAAAAAAAAAACTTCTTTTGCCATGACTATCAACTTTCTCTTGGAATCTCCATAAAAAGTGGGTAGATAGGTTGCACAGCATTTTTCCATCACAAATACATGTTTTGCAATTTATTACTAGTTCAGTCGAGCAGTTGCTTAAACTCTGGCTACAAAATTTCGTATAAAAAATATATACAGAACCTTCATATATACCAATTTATTTATTTATTTTTTCTCATAATTGGTTTTTGTATAAAAAGAAAAGATAAGTATTTACATGCGCACAGAGGGCATACCCTCAGAGTTTTACTGGAAAGTACAAATTCTTAATGAAGAAACATTTCCAGTAAATAAAAAATAAAACAATGAGCTGCAATCTAAAGAATGTCTCTAAGAAAGACATTGTAAACATCTAAGACCTCAAACATAATTTGTCTAGCCACCTCAGAGGTGGGACTAGATTTATTTCCATGTAGTCTTCTGTTTCTCTCTTTCCAAATACTCCAACAGCCAGCAACAAATAAGGTTTGGATCAGTTTGCTAGTCTGTTGTGTGAACCATATCAGCATATCATCAATAGTGTGAATTGAACTTCAGTCCAGCCCCAATCCAAGAGCATCCTTCAACCAGCTCCAGAAGTGTCTAGCAAAAGGACATTGAACAAAAACATGATTTCTGGTATCAATCTGTTGTAAACAGTTAGAACATCTTGGAGCCAATTGCACTTTCCTCTTCAGCAAATTATACATTGTAGGTAATCTGCCTTGGAATAAAAAGACACCATGAATTGACCATCTAGGTCTGGCCTTCCCCCAGCAAATTTTGGACCAAATAACATCTGGATTAGTAACTCTACAGCCCTGCCAAGCTTTTTTGAAAGCAAAGGCACCACCATCCCAAAGGAACCTATCTGATCTAGCATGAATAGGCAATGTAGGCAAAGAATCTTTTATAGGTCTGAAAATGTCATCTTGCAAGAGTTCAAAATTCCATCCACCATCAATTAGAAGACTGGACAAAGGAGAAGACTATGAATACCCCAGCCTTCTAACCTTTCTATGTCCAAATTTCTGTAGAATAGTTTCCCCCTCACACCAAGGATCTGTCAAAACCTTAAAAAGCTGCCCAGTACCTATTGAAAATTGAATATTATGTAGCATAATGTCCCTAAAATTAATCAAGTTTTTCCACAGAATTGAATGAGAGACCTTTGGAACTGCATTCCAATATGTTGAACTGGCTGCATACCTTTTTTGAAACCAAGGAACCCAAAGTCTGTCTTTACTTAGCAAGAAATCCCAAGCCAGAACACAGTGGGAAGCAACCTGTAATTCCTTCAATTTCCGAAACCTTGCACACCCTTTTCCGGGAATAATATAATCTGCAATCGGCATAAGCTTGTTCTTGGCACACTTTAGTTTAATATATTGACTCTTAAGGTGTTATGCATAAAAAATTGTACTACTACTCATCCCACTAAGATTGGCCTCTTTGACCAAGGCAATGTTTGTGGATGCAATTTATGCATTCACATCTTTCTGATACAATTCTACTTTTGCAATTCTGGAAAAAGGTCACACCTTGGATATTTATTATAGGCAACATGATGGCAGCTAAAAGGAAAGGAAGCCCATCCTTGTGGGATGGTGGGAAGTAACTGGAACCATGAGAAAATTTTTCATGTTCATCTCCTAGTCCTGGAAGCAGTATGTTCAGAAGTGTTGTAGCTTCCTAAATTATAACTGTTTTGTTTCTTTTCCCACATATGATATTCTGTGCAATAATATCTAACAGATTTTTAACAATGTAAATTCTGTCAATTTTTTTATTTTTTTTCCAGGTCCCCAGAGTCATCACAATGCTCGTGATAATCAGGTGTGATGCTTTCTCTTTGGTAGTCTAATGTAAAACAAACTGTTCCAAATCCATGTTACCTGGACTCCAGTACTTGTATCATGTAAGGGTACATGTCTAAATGTCAGACCACTCAAACCTCCATAAATCCCAAATCTTAGTATAGATAGGCTCGGATTGAAATGCATCCAAAATTTGGATACGGGTACGTGGACAAATATTAAACACTTGAAAATGTTATATATTACATTGAAGTGTACACATGAAGCGATTATTCCTTAAAAATGTACTCAGTAATAATGAAAATTAAATGAAACATGGTGAAAAAAGAGAGATTTCATCTATCTCAGAAGTAGGTAACCCTTCTTTGCTATCACATTTGAGGTTTCTTCTTCTTCTTCCACCATCAAGATTGGAGGATTCAAGTGTCTGATTTGGGTACGTGTGTCGGACACGTTTCTTGTACCCATCCCATATTGTGTCGTGTCGAGATGGGTGTGGTAAGGGGAATAGGAGAGTCCAGGTATGTTACCCAGAATGCCTTAAATATGTGGAAAAGCCTCTATTTTATTTACTTTTTAAATTCTGTAAACACACAAGCAAAAGTGATGTTAACCCATGCATGGTAAATAAGTGAGCTTTCCCGCCTGTGTTCTTGTTAAGTGACTTGTGCATATATGTAAACCATTTTTATTATTGAATACTTCATCCTTGGATGATCCTAACTGCAAAATAAACTCATCTGCAGCATTTGTGCTCCTATACTTATTGAATATATGCATCTACACATTAGGTATGTACTTATATTTAATAGAAATATAGTGGTGGGTGGAAATTTCGATCAACTTAAGTAAAGTCTTTCTTCTTCACACAGTCTAGTCTGTTAGGTTGACAAGATCACCCCCCTCCATTTATTTATTTATTTTTTAAAATTTGCGGTGCTGGTAGTTGATGTTAATGATATTAATTAATTATGTTTCAAATCTTCCAAAGTTCTTTCTTTGCTCTCAATGAGTGCAACATTTTGAATGTACTACAATACAGTCCACATAACAAGTGTCGAGCTTGAATGGAGTGGGTTTGACCTAGGATCCGATCCGAAATACATTTTAATGGGTTTGGATTTTAATTTTGAATTCAAAATTCAAAAACAGGTCAAATAGAAATCTTTGCTGAAAGGTTTGTGACGGATTTGGGTCAAATATGATTCTTGGTAATTCTTGAAAGGAACAGATTTTACTTGAGGCTCAACCCGGATCAACTATATCTTAATCTATTTTAGATCATGTTTAAATTATGGTCGGATATGGATCCTGTTCATAGGATCCTATCCAGATTCGGAATTGGATATGGATTCTGTCATTAAAATATGGATTCGGGTCATATTTCACATGAATCCGCTCCATTTCAAGTCCCACCTTCTTCTCCTTTTTTTCTTCCCCTTCTTACTCTTATTTGAAATAAAATTCATACATATTTATTTAATAAGTTGAGGTAGGATCCTGAGGCAGTTAATTAATTTCTTTCATCTTGTCTGTGGACTGATTCAGGTTATTTGGCAAGACAACGTTGATCCTGACCACATGACTTATGAGGTTTGATATGTAAAACCTTTATGTGCTCTCTTTGCTTAATAAGATCTCTTTTGGTTATGAGATAAATATACTTTGCATTTTCTATCATGGACATGTAAATCCAATATATTGCATCCAACCGAAAATACGAAGAAAGATGAAACAAAATTTTTGGTTCTAATTTTGTTTAAATGCGTTAGCTTTTGGATAAAGTATGTGCTATAAAGTCGCACTTTGGATTTCTGATTTTAAGTCTTTATTTTTTAGGCAAATGAGTAGCAGAAGCTCTAATGAGAATGAAAATATATGTAGATGTACATAATAAGTGCCCACTGTTAAGGGGAAAAAAAATCTCAGTTTAGTAGCTTGTTCTGATTCATGAATGGATAAATATTATTAAATTGAACCATACAATGATATGGCCTTGAAACATCCAACATCCATATTATATGAATAGCAACAAACTCATATAACATTTATTACTTGATTTAGTCAAACATTGATATTAAAAAAGGTATGAAGACAAGTCTTCTACTGCATTTGGTTCATCCAAGTGTTTAACTTGAACTTTCAGACACGTCACATGTGCACATAAAAGTCATACAGCGAGTTTGACAAGTTCATGGAGAAGGTCGCTTTTTTATAAGCATCTGTACAGTATTCAAACTAAGTCACTTGGAAGTTGAAATGTTTGGTAAACTCATGACTTAGCATGATTCAAGAACAACATGGGATTGTCTGATGCATCACTATTGGACACCCAGCAAGTGTGTCAGACTCAGATAAACAATAAAAAACACTTAATTATTTCAAAGGAATATTGCTATATTTTAATATTTCACCAGAAATTTCCTGTTATCTATACAACAACAACAACAACCAAGCCTTTTCCCAATTACTTGGGGTTCTTTAAATTTCTTCTTTTATTCCACTGCTATTACAAAATTAGCTTGACTACCTGTATCAAACCCATAGTTTTACAGGAAAATGTCGTATAACCTTATCATTAGGATGGCAAGAAAATTGCTCTCCCGGATTTTAAGATTTAAAGATTAGACAAATATTGCACTTAAGACATGTATTTGCACCCAAAATTTGCATTTGAGCCCATTTATATTTATAACATCTGATGGTATGCAAGGGTCAAAACACAAGACATCAGCTAGAAGTTTTCGCAAAGTACATTAAAATTTTTTATCTTTATCTTTTCAGAATTTTTTTTCTGGAACTTTTTGTTTTTTGTTTTTTTTTTAATCTTTTCTAGTAGATATCTTACCGAACTTGTATAAAATATTGGAATAATTATCAATTTTGATTTTGACTTCCCGAGGTTGGAATTTATTTTGAAATGCAACACCTTGCAGTTTTTTTGCTTTATGGTACAGGTTTGCATCATATTAAATGGTCATACATGCCAAATACAAGATTCCACAACTCAAAAAATCTACTTTTCTTCTCATGGTTTTAGATTTATAATTAAATGATTCTATTAGTTTCACTAATATTGATGGTTTTCTTGCCTTAACACTGCGAAGAAATTTCTGCCTTCACACTCCAAAGAAGTTTTTATCTTCCGGCTAGGTTTATTGTTTTACCTATTAGAGTAGAAATTTTATCGTTTCCATTCCTTTTTATCTAGTCAGAGACTCAAGAGTGTTTGAGTGGATCACTAAAGCATCATGTTGCCTGACTGAACCATTACTCACAATCATATATTGTGATGGCTATGTGATGACTAGGGAAAGCTTGGAACAAAGTGTGAGCTTGTGATGTAGCCTGAATGACTTCAGCCAAACTGGTCCTCAATAGCTCTAGTTGGTTATGTGGAACATTTGGGATAAAATAGGTTCATTATTTGAGGGTATTACTTAGAAAATAATGTAGTCAGCAGCTGGTGTCATCCAATGGTTTCCAACCATTTGATGTAAAGATTTTTGCAAACATTGTTTCAAAATGATTTAGATTGTCTACATGTGTCAAAAGCAATGCAATTGAATGGTGTAGATGACCAATCATACTGCTTGACCTTGCGGAAATCATGATATGAATTTTTTTTTAGTTATGATTGTTATTATTATTTAATTGTGACAAGGGGTGTCCCCACCCCCTTTAGAAGCGGGATTAGAAACCACACACACATTTCCCATGTATTGGGCAAGGCAACAGTAGAAGTTGTACCTGGGATCTCTTGGTTGATTCACGAAGCTCACATAAACTAAATCACTCTGTGGGTTTATGAGATATGATTATTAAAAATTGTTAATAAGATGCCATGTTGGCATTATAACTTGTTTGTTAAAATTTGCTGCTTTCAGCTGGACATCTAATGATATATAGACAATCAAAATTGCTGTTTTTTGTCTGTGCATGTAGTTTCTTAACTTTCTTGTTTTCGAGCAACCACATGAATCAAAAAATAAGTTTTATCACTTGCCATTGACTGGAAATTTTTATTACTTTATATCCTCTACTATGCTTTAATAATTTATTGTGTTAATATATTTGTGTCTATGTTGTTTAATGTATATCTTATGAAACAATTTCTTATGAACTCATATTTGATATAAAACTTCCTTTGTGTTCCATAGATGTGTCTACATATTACTAAAGCTACACCAATTTAAGGTAAACCCTATTGATTTGGGGTGCTTAGACATCTTGATAACACTGGATCGTCATTAGAAATGTTGAAATTAGTTGATTTATGCCCTGTTTAGGAACTTCAACAATTGTTATGGTGGAACATAGTACCTTTGCAGATCATCATACCAGATGGGTCTTAGATGTTGAATTAATTTTTTCTTCTTTATTTCAAAGTGAAGAAATGAAGGTGCTACTGTTTTTCTGTTTGATCAAGGTTCATATCTGGGCAATGTGCTGATTTGCGTACAGGTATCCAATTATGGAAACAAAAATGAAACTGATATTTTGGTGTGTAATTTCCAATACACAACTAGTTAACAGTATGTTCCGTTTTGTGTGTCAACAGCCACTATTGAAAATCAATAGCAACTATAATTAAAGCTCTTGTACATGTGGTTTAACCATGGCTTAATTTGTGCATATAAGTTATTCAACATATCAGCAAGAATTTCATTTGCAGGAATTACTTGAGTTAGGTGAGGCAGTTGGAACTCAAAGCCGTGGTCTTTCCCAAAATCTTATCTCCTTGCTTCCCATCTCAAAGTTCAAGCGTGGCCTCTTCTCAAGAAAGAAATCAAGAAATGAGAGGTAACCTTTAGGCATGTTAACTATTTTATCTCTTTTCTCTCAATTCACCAGCTGCAGTCATTTTTTCAAGTATTGAATTGCTCATCCTGTTGTCTTGTTAAGCTATTTGAATTTCTGGTGCTATTAAGTTGAATTGTTCATCAGCAGTCAACAAATTTTTAGAACCTTTAGGAAAAATGGTATAATTTTTAAATTTTATTTTTTTCTCGGGAATGTTTACTGTTGCATGTTGCAACAAACATTTCACATAGGAAATTCTAATCTTAAGAAAAAAAAAAAATATATATATAAAGTAGAATTAGCAGCGTCAATTTAAGGATACGATTTATTGGCTGCCGATGAAGCGCATATACATGGTTAAAGTGCCATTTGTAATTTTTTCCTCTTTCCTGCTAAGCATTTGCTAGTTTTTCCCAACATGACTGTCTTTTAATAGGAGAGAATACTCAACTTCTTGAAGATGTTTTCTTTTTGTTTAGATTTATATATTGTTCTAAGACAACACATACATTAATTGGAATTTTCAATGTATTACTGATGTATATAGGATAACATTGCAAGTGTGAAATGATAACGAGTAGTACTGTAGGAATGTTTTCAAACTTCCTTTTCTGGGTAAAGGCTAACACTTAGCAGCTAAACCGGCAGGTCAACTGAAATGGAACCATAATGCCATAAACAAGGACTGTTCATTGAAACAGAAAGGAGGCTGGGTAGATTTTCTGGAACGTCAAGTAGTGATGCTCAAAAGTTGAATGCTTGGTGATTAAGTACTGGTGCTAAAACAGCGAGTACCGATTCTCACTGCATTAGTTTGCACAAAATGTGCTCAAAATTCATTTCAAAAATCCATCTCGAGGGCCCGCCAGGTGTAGTCCTCTTTAATCAGGGATGTGGGGAGTGTACCAAGCAATAACCCTGAGCTTTTGAAAATACTTTCCATGCCAAAAGCAAGTTTAGAAACACTTTTTAGTGACTAGAAAAATAACAACCCTCAGGTTTTAGTTGAACTTAGTGTGAGACTCAGATTGTTCTCTATGTTGCTTCGTCTTCACAGAGGATAGATGAACAGCTAGCTAGCTGAAGTATGCCCTTTGTGGAGCTGAATAATGAATAATGGAGATATTTCTGTGCCCTTTGTGAAGTTAGAGGAACAACTAGTTCATGTATTCACTAATCAAACGTTTCGATTTGCGGATTTCACGTGCTCAAATCCATACATCGGATTTGGATAACTCATTGGATATATGAACTTTAAATCCACGAAATCCAATTGATTTAGTAACCTAAAACCGTGGATTTGAAATAGGAAATGGATCCTCTCCAAGGAAAGTTCTCTCCCAGCATCTGCAGGTATTTAATCCCACAGCTGTTGTGCCACATCAACAACTTATTTTATAGTGAATATGGTATCTTTTAGACTAAAACTCGCCCTTATGCGTGATAACAGTTACCCTTCACAGCAGGCTTCCCTCTTTCGTTTGTCCTCTACTAATCTACTATCATCAATCTTTGACTGCTACAGTTGAAGGTTTGCAAAATTAATCAGACCTATATTTTCCAACGATCCGTGTTCTGCTAGATTGATATTAAGAGGGAATAATAATTATCAGCGTGTTCTGAGATAGAGAAGGATCATTCATACATTATGCCGCTGGTGTTTTCCGAGAGAAACAATGGAATCATATTTTCAAAGAGAAAGATTGACTGGTTTTGAGAGAGAAAAATTCAATTGTAGGAAGGTAAACTGCTGCCTGAATCTGAAAGTTGGATGGGAAAGTGTCGTAAGTTCCGTAACGGCGTGTTTTAGTCCACACGATACCATATTTACTAACCAACTAAATTGTTGATGTGGCGCCTTAACAGCCCTAGGATTAATACTCGTAGATGCTTGGAGAGAACTTTTCTTGGCGAGGATGCGTTCCCTTTGAAATGACACCTAATGATGAATCAGTCCAGCATGCCATTGCATGCTTTTTCCTCTTTAAACAACTTGGATGCACCAATCTACATCACATTAGAAACTGTGTGAAAATGCTATTGCACGCTTCATTTCTGTGAACTATTTGGGTGATAATTACTTATCTAAAAGAAACTATTTGGATGATAATGTGCATCATGCGAATATCAAATAGACTTGTGAATTTTGCTGTTTTGTACTGTCTTCTCCAGAATTTATTGAAATATAAAAAATCTCATTCCTTAATGTGAAAGGCTTCCCTTGTAAATGTTTTAGGAATATGAGAGTCTCTCTTTTTGACATATTTACAATTCATATCATGGTAAGCATTGAGGTAATAAAGTCATAGAAAATTATTACTAAAATAGCTTGGGACAGGAAGAATTTCATCATTGTTGAGAAAATTATAATGTAGAGAATCATAGTTAACATCTTAAAGAACTAAAACACTCGAGTCTTATATCTTATTGTTACCAAACCCATTGTGTTTAAACCTTGAATATACTTGGTCTTCTTGGATAACTATTTCCAAAACTGTTAAAATAAAATTCCTTATTGACATGTCTTTCTTCGTAGAAAGTCTTTGACATTTTAACTTCAGTTTGAATTTTAGTTGAAGCTGATTCTGGGGAACAAGTTGGATTTTTAAAAAGCTAGGGAATTTTCTTTTAGATCGTTAATCTGCAATAAAAAGCTAAAATTTTTGGACAGTAAAATTGTCCCATTTGGTTTCTGCATCCCTGGGAAGATTGTGAGAGATGCTTGGTAAATGCATAAAACGGATATAGATATAATGTCTGAAAATAGTTCACTTATATGCTTGTGAGGTCAACTTTTAATGATTACCGAAAGAATCCTTTCTAAAGGTGATTATTGAGACCATACGTTCTTCTATCTCGCGTAGTAAAAGAAACAGCATTTCCTTTTCTTTCTAATGACTTGAAGCATTGGATAGAATTTTGCTTTACATTTACATTATATAAAATTTTGCATCCCCTTGCTCGATGGTCCAACTGCTTTTCTTTTCTCTTCTTGTAAAACAGGTGTGTAATTTGCCAGATGGAATATAAACGAGGTGACCGGCAGATGACCCTTCCGTGCAAACATGTCTATCATGCTGATTGTGGTACAAGATGGCTTAGCATCAACAAGGTAATATTTCTAATAACTTATCATATATGGTCCTTAATTTACCATCAAGCCAGTATGTTTGTTGACCGTGTCGTTGTTTAATCAGGCTTGCCCCATTTGTTACACTGAGGTGTTTGGTGACTCGTCGAAAACACTAACAAATTAGAGAGATACTGAGCATAAAGAGAAGTGGCTTCATTTGTTTTTGGTTCGTCTTCCTATTCTTCTTTTAGGTTTTCATTTCTTCACACAGAATGTTACTTGCGGTCATCGTTGTTGTCTTCAGTAGATCTACCTTTCTATTTGCTTTTGTAATAAATGAAGTCCATAAACCTTGTACTTGATGGTTTTGCCGGTGAGGTTGGAATTTGTATCACTACGTTTTTTACAGTTTTGCTATTAAAGTTGAATGCTTATAGCAATTACCCCTACCGTGGCATTAAACTTCTGGATTTATCGGTTTAAGATCTGTCTCGAAATGTATTGTAGATTAGTGAGGAAGATTGGCTTGGTTTAAAACTTGAATGTATGTTTCTCTCTTTCTTGCCTCATTATAGAGAAACTGTGAATCCATTTGCTCGAAACGCCTTTTCTCACGTGACGAAAAAATTGAGATTATACAACGGTATAGCATATCACCTACTCTCCATCTCTACTTGTTCATGGCCTCAAACTGATCTCTTAGTGGGAAGCCACTCTTAATTTAATAGTTGGATATACATATTCTATTCCAGCATGTTTAGTTTTCAATCTGGATCGCGGAATTGTTATTTATAGGGATGCTCATTTCCTTCACAATGCAAGACACAAACCATTAGTTCTAAGAACTATATTTTCAGGCGAGTTTTGGTTGATAACGACTTCGGTAGTTGCTGACAACCCTTATATTAATCTGCCATACTTGTATAAATCACCACCATATCCGTCTTCTCCGCCACCTTATTACTATAAGTCACCACCTCCACCTCCACCGTCTCCTTCTCCACCCCAACAATATTATTATAAATCGCCACCACCCCCATCTCCATCATCCGGGTCTCCTCCAACAGTGTACAATTACAAGTCTCCACCTCCACCATCGCCCTCTCCTCCACCACCTTACTACAAGTCACCACCACCACCACCTCCTCCATCTCCATCACCACCCCCTCCTTACTATTATAAATCCCTGCCACCTCCCTCTCCATCTCCACCTCCTCCATCATTGTCAGCTCCATCACCTTACTACTACAAATCACCACCTCCGCCATCACCATTGCCACCTCCCCAATGCATTTACAAGTCTCCACCTCCACCGTCACCGTCACCGTCACCGTCACCACCACCTCCTCCTCCACCTCCACCATCGCCCTCTCCACCACCTTACTACAAGTCACCACCCCCTCCTTACTATAATAAATCCCCGCCACCTTCCTCTTCATCACCACCCCCTTCTTACCATTATGAATCTCCACCACCTCCCTCTCCATCACCACCACCTCCCTATCACTATAAATCACCACCTCCTCCATCACTGTCACCTCCACCACCTTATTACTACAAATCACCACCTCCCCCCTACATTTACTAGTCGCCACCATCACCATCACCATCACCATCACCTCCCTACTGTTACAAGTCACCTCTACCACCATCCCCATCTCCTCCACTGCCTTACTGCTACAAATCACCACCTCCACCATCCCATTCTCCGGCTCCATCATATTACTACAAATCCCCACCACCACTTTCACCATCACCACCACCTACATATTTTTACAAGGCTTCCCCACCACATTCACTACCCCCTCCTCCACCCTACCGTTACAAATCACCACCACCGCCATCACCATTTCCTCCTCCATACTACTACAAGTCCCCACTTCCATCATCAACATCATCATCACCACCATACTACTACAAATCCCCACCCCCGCCATCTAAGTCGCCACCAACTCCGAACTACTACAAGACCCCCACCTCCACCACCTCTATCACCATCGCCTCGTAATTATTACAAATCACCTCCTCTCCTTTTGAAGTCACCACCACCACCACCACCACCACCTCCACACATTTCCTATGTCACCACTACCACCATTGAAATTTCCCACCTTCCATATGACTACAAGTCTCCTCCGCCCCCATCTCATCCTCCATACTATTAATTATATCATCATTATATGTAGAGATATAGTTTTTTACTATTGTTTTAGAAGAACTATTTATATACATTAATTTCGAATTCAGAATATGAGACGGAGATTGTGGCTTGTGAGGCACCACTGAACAAGAGTAGGGCATGCTCCTCCATGATTTCTCACATTCCAAAATTGCGAGAAGAAATATTTTCATATATTTTTATTTTGATAGTTTATATATATACAAAAATAATTTATTGTTTACCAATGAACAAAAAAATTTATTCACACTAAATATGATAACCGTTAAATATAATAATAATTATTTTGTCATGTAGGTTCCGTTTGTTCATTTCCAACAAAATTTCCAAGATAGTTTTTGATCTGGTGGCCAAGAGCTTAGTAATGATTTTGCAAAACCATTGCCCTGTAACCTGCAACTTTCACACATTTATTAATTTTAGGAATCAATCAAATGAAGGATCACCATATTTGAATTCCAATTCTTTTCTTAATTAATACAATTATTTGAGAGAAATTTTGAGTCTTTATTACATCTTGCCCATCCATCCATCCATCCATCCAGACTTGGGCTCTTGTCAGACCCGAGATGGTCCACAATTGCCTTAACCTCCTCGGCACTAGTGCTGTTAACTGTAGGATCAATAGGGTTTATTAGAGTGTAATAATTTTTTACAATGATCAATAAATTCCTGTATGTGAGCCAGCCAAGTTTTAAATAGCATTAAAAAAACAAACAGATCCTTCTTCATTATGAAATTTGCCAGCTCTTTGTAGCTATTTTTTTAATAATAATAATAAGGGCAAATTTCGTAAAACCTCCAAAACTATTAAAAAATGATCATAAAATCCCAACCTGTTTCTAAAAACCCCTATACTTTTAAAAAGTGTTCACATTGCCCTAATATCCGTATCCGACCCATTAATTGGGCTGTGAAATGACAAATTTGACCTTACCATTTAATATTAAATTAAAAAATAAAAATTATTTTTATTAAATTACAAACACACCCTTACATAGGGAGCAAGCGGAGAAGGCGGCGGCTGCTTCTGTGACGGCGGGTGGCCGGGATTCGAAGAGCTTTCCGAGTTTGAGGGATGCGGTGAGCACCAAGACGAAGAAGATAAGATGAGCTTGCAGGAATTCAAGATGCAGCGCCCAGAATCGGCGTTTGATTACAAAGGCTTGACGCCGGAAGAGATGCTCAGGCTTTCGACCGGGCTGAAGGAGCGGTCTACGGAGGAAATGCAGTCCGGTGGAGGACCGGGTCGTATGCGAGATAGAGACGGAGATGGTGATAATACTTGCGGAAGTAATCGGAGATCTTACGATGGTGGATTCGATGACGATAGTAGGGGTTCGCCTTCTAGGGTTTCGGAGAGAGCTTTGGAAGCTTACCTTATTCTGATTTTTTAAAGGGAGGGAAGAGGTGTCTCACCAAAAAGGAATAATTGAAAGCTTCACTCTTTCTTCGTATTTTCCTATACGACCGATTGATAGAGGTCACGAGTGGCATCTTTGGTCATCTTCCAAAGCTCTCCTTTCTTCAGCTAGTACGTAGGAGCGCACTTTCGTTTGAGGCGTCAGTCGGTCCTAGAAATGGCGGCAGCTGTGCGCTTGCTTTTGGCTTCTTAGGGAAGCTAGCTGCTTTCATCAACCCTCAAGAGCTGATGAGGTCAATAATTGGGCATCGGGGAAGAAATCTCTACCGTCCTTCGATTCCGGCCTCTCTAATCGGTACGGGTCGCTTGGTAGTTGTGGTGTTGAGGTAAGAGGCATGTCTAGGGCTGATGAAGTTGATAATTGGGCATCTGTGAAGAAGCTAATGCCTGCAAAATCTTCAAGTTTTGGTTCGGGTTTTCGTAATTCTAGTCCAGAACTAGATCGTTGGACTAGGGGAGGATTGCGCGAGGAGGATGGGGAGCGGGAACGGGAGCGCCGCTGTTAGGTTTTGGATCCGCCACGGGTTTAAGCTTTGAATGAAATTTAAGCTTTGAATTAAATTATTTTTGTAATTTAAAAAAATAATTTTTAATTTAATATTAAATGGTAAGGTTAGATTTGTCATTTCACAGCCCAATTAACGGGTCGGATACGGATATTGGGTCAATGTGAACACTTTTTAAAAGTATAGGGGTTTTTAGAAACAGGTTGGGGTTTATGATAATTTTTTAATAGTTTTGGGGGTTTTACGAAATTTGCCCTAATAATAATAATAATAAAAAAAATTGTACATCTATCATTTTCTTCCATTTCTTATTTTATATTCAATTTTCAAACTGGGCTGATCATCTAATCACCTCCCCAATCTATTTAAAACGAGCTTATGATAAGACACAGTTTGATATCATATGTTTGTAAAATCATCACATAATAATGTAGGATTTTTCAACAAATACCGCTGCCATTTACCACATATAAGTCTGAAAGCCCCACATCATTAGAATTATTCCACCACAATGAGTTGTTTTCTTTTACACTCAGTAATAAATTAGGGTAGAATTTGAGTGGAATGCTTTGTCTAACCATGAGAGGAGATTGGATGTTATGCATTACAAGCTTTATTTTTGGGTAATTTATAGCCCACTCTCACCTCTTTACATTCTCTAGATTTTTCGATTATTACAAAATAATAATAATAAAAAAATAAATTCTAATTTTTTTATCATTTAATCTCCTCTAGATATTCTAGGTTTTTAGTACAAAATTAATCCATGCCAATGTCTAGAAGGCTGCTCAAGATTTTGTTAATATTGAAACCTTCTATAAAAGACCGTCACAATTTAACACGTTCCAATTGACTACAACGTTCTAGTGTTCATCCACTGCTGCTAGTGTCCTATTCCTATGCGAATTGTTTACTTCATTATTTTTGGCCCAATGGAAAGGCGACATGTGGCGAGTTCCAATGAGCTTACCACATTGGATTGATGCTTTAAATATCCAAAAGAGGAAGCATAGTATGAAATTGCTGAAGGTTGATTTTGTGTTATCCACCAATAAGGAAGAAGTATGTGGCGAATTCCAATGGAACTTACCACGCTGAATCGCAACTCTAATAAGTTATTATTGAAAGTTATTTAATATTACGTAGCAATTGAAATCAAAGACAACAGTCCTACCACGAGGGGTTTCTATTTTAAAAGGAAAAGAGGTGAGTCCAACTAGGACTTGCCATCTTTAAATCAAGGGTCCACATATTCCTATTTGGAAAGAGGAATTATGACATGGAAATACTACCATGAAGGTAACCTCAGGAAATTTCTAAAGACAAAGTCAACCAATT